GCTAGTTCATTTATACAATTAATGGGGAGTTTATTAGATGTTACTAAAGAAGATGGAGTTCCTAACGTACGAAAAGACTGGTAAGTAAAAGAATGTGAAGTTGAAAACTATTATTTTAAAGTTGTATTTGTTTATAACAGGTATTGTTATGCTGTTATGTCATGTTTACCATGGGTTGGTAGAGAACTCTATGAAAAAAGGGAATCACCTCTCGAAATGTTATTGACAACAATTGAGGTATATTTGAATAAGCGCCCAAAAAAGCATGTTAATATGCTGAGGATTTGGTCCACAGATGTACCTCATCCCCAGGAAGAGTACTTGGAATGTTTATGGAATCAGGTAAAAAAACTGAAACATGACAGTTGGACCGAGACCATTATACCAAGACCTTACTTGACGTTTGACAATGTTTTGTGTGAAGCTCTTCAGCATAATTTGCCTCCCATTGTGCCACCCCCTCATCATAACGCTTGTGTATATCCAATGCCATGGGTTGTATATCGAATGTTTGATTATACAGATGTCACTGATGTGAGTGAATATTGAATAACAAATAATTTAAAATTATTTTTTGATATTTATTTTGAACCAATATATACATTTAGGGTCACATTATGCCTGGTGCTCACTCCATTGAAAGATTTTTAGTTGAAGAACATCTACAACAAATAATTGATATGTCATGCAAAAATAGGAAAGAATGGTAATATTTATCAAAAAAATTCACCCCACTTCTATATGTTAAATATATAATACTTAGATGTATGAATTTATTTTATTACTTTTAGTGCAACTAATTTAATGAATTTTGTACACAAAAACAAAGTACCTCTGGAGTATTGTATTGTTGAAGTGATATTCGGCTTGATGTTCCACCAGCCCAAACCAAAGTATTTAGAAGTAATGTTTGGCTCTGTCTTTATTGAATTATCTAAATTATCAACTAACACAATGCCACTTGTGTTGGCTCAGACAACAGAAATATTATACTCCCGTATAGAATCTATGCATGTCTGTGCTTTTGATAGGTATGTCACATTGTGACTGATTGTTATTTGCAATTCTTAAACAAGCAAATTTGTTTTTAAGGTTTGTATCATGGTTTGCATACCATTTGAGTAATTTCAAATTCAGTTGGTCCTGGCAAGAGTGGGCAGATTGTTTAGCATTGGATCCAGAACACCCAAAACCAAAGTTTGTGCGTGAAGTTCTTCAAAAAGCCATGAGGTGCGCATATCATGTACTAGTTTCATAACAATTATTAATGATTTAAAATTTGATTGATTATTTTTAGGTTATCATTTTATGAGCGTATGCGTGATATTGTGCCACCAGATTTTGAACCTTTATTACCTGAGAAACCGGAACCAAAGTTTAAATATGCTATGGAAAAGTCCAGTAAGATAGATATCAGATTCTAATTGTGTTACAATATTAAAAACTATGAATTGTATTTATTTTTTCAGCATTACCTGGTCAGTTTTTATCAAACACATTACTTACTAAAATACGAAATAAGACAACTCCCGAAGATATAATTGAAATATTAAAAGAACCATTGATATCGGAAAATGGAGAAATTATGGAACCAGCAGACATTGGAATCTCAAATCCAGTAAAAGTTGATGCTTTTGTACAAACATTGTTGTTTATAGCCAGCAAGTCTTTTTCACATGCTTTTGCAGCTATTACTAAGTTCATTAGTGTATTTAAGGTAAACATTTTTATATTCATATGATCTATATCTGTTTTTGGGTAAGTTAATTTACATGTTAATGAATTAAAATTGTAATGAAATTACTTTACCTTCTCGTTTCAAAAAAAAAAGCGGGAAAGTGGATGTCGCTCTGCTGTACATTAGGTGGTGGAGTGGACCTCTGACTAGGGCCAAATCTAACAGATTTGAATGCAATGATAGGTATCATTGTATACGAAAAACGATTCTGAACGGAGATGATTTGTCAGTCTAAGATATATTATATTTAAATATTGTCATATTGTATTCTATTTTGAAACAAATATTTTATTTTTCAATTA